TTAACCAAGCACTGTAATTGGGGAAGGAACTAAAATGGCAGAAAGCAGAGAAGAAGCAAAAGCACTTTGGTGGGATAATGGATACCGTTCTAGGTATCAAACCAGCCACAAGCCCCATAGCATGCGTCAAGTTGGCCAGCTCTCATGTCCAGAAAAGGATTTTCTCTCAAACAGGAATGGCTTCTTTGTTCTGTTTGTGTCCATCCTGACTGTTTTCTGGTGGTTTTTTTTTTTTTTTTTTTTGCTAATTATGTTGGATTCTCTCTCCTGGATATGTATGTGGAATAACAATAACCTGTTATGAGACAGCTGAAAATCACTGGTCAATTAAGACACAACTTAGGGGATGCCAGTCTTCCACAAATTGCTGCCCTCCACATATACTGGAATGTTTCCCACAATTCCTCAGCCAGCATGAATTTTGGCCATGCTAAAGAATTATGGGAATCGGTAATGGCCAAATTACAAAAAATCCTGCTCTACTGGAGGCCTGCAAAGCAGCAGCATGTTAGTGAATATGAATGGAATGAAATGCATTCAGGCTAAATTCCTAAACTCAGCCTGTACTCTGGTAAATGGGACTCATGGGGTGCTGAAAGTTAGTATCCTCAGACAGACCCACATAACACATACTCTGGCTTTTCTCCCTTTCTTCCTCTACATTTGTTTCTCAGGGTTGCTGTTCCATTTATGCACCAGTTTCCCACACCACAAGTAAAGCAATATCTCCATGTGTCGGATAGTTAAAAAAATGCTATCATTTTTTTCCCGTGCACTTTAATGTTGATCACACATGTACTTTTAACAAACGATGGGAACTGAATGATATCCAAGGAAAAGAATATGTCTTTTATTCTTTTTTTTATCTCTTAGGGGAACTGGAAATTCAACAATAGTTTTAAGTACAAATGCTTGAAAAAGACAATGCAAACAGGTCAGGAACAGAATATAATTTATTCATTTTCCTGAAATCTCTTCTGTTTTTTTTTTTTCATAAATGGTGCTATCAGGCATTCTGGGAATAAAGCAGCCCAACTGCACAATGAAAATTTCACTTACAAGCACCCTAAATGTAGAATATAGTACCCGGTGTCAGCTTCAGAGTTAAACTGAACAACAATTCTCTGTCCTCATGAAACTGATAGCAATATTCCCAGGTTTTACTATATGCAAAGAAAATCTGCATTTTCTTACACATAGTTCCCTTCTCCAATCTACATCTTACAATCTCCGATCTGTCTCAAATGAAGGCCATATATGAAAATTCTTACACATCTAATAACAAAGCACCAGAATCCATTTGCAAAGCTTTTTCTAGATTAGATAATTTACTGCTTCAAGAACACTGTGGTGAAGGTACATGTCTGAATGGTCTTCTCTAAGAGTAAAAAAACTTGTCATCAAAAAAACTAGAAGGTACTTTCTCTAACTTGTTAATTCACCATATGCAAGAAGTTTTGACTTTTGTTTCTGATATGCAAACAAACCCTTTCACTTTCTGAAGTGATGGGATAGTCTGGAAAATGTTACTGTCAATTTTGCTGAATATATGAATATTCTGGATTTAGCCCTCAACATGACAAAGTTCTTGCTGTGCCCTGAGGGAATGAGAAAAGTGGTTGGACTAGAAAAGAATTCCCTTTGTTCTCATACTGTGTGGGCTTGTGATGTGTATAATTATAGTTTCACATCAACTCAGGTTCCTATTTGTGTACAAATAGGAGGAACAAAACTGATCTGGACTGGGGGGTTGTGTGTATAATGAGGGAGAAATGCAATGTCAAGCATATGGGATGGGTTTAACAGAGTGTCAGGAGGTATCATTACTGAGGTATACTGGGAAAGAAGATGTTGAAGAGAGAAGTTGGACGCAGTTGTAGTTTTGTGCCAATAAACAACATTGGATGAGAGCTCCAAAGCAGCTTTGTGCTCTTTTTATTCCATGTAGGGCAGTGGTTCTCAACCTGTGGGTTGGGACCCCATTTGGGGTCGAATGACCATTTCACAGGGGTTGCTAAACAAGGCTGTCCACCATTTTTCCCCCTTTTCTTTGGCCACGCCCCTGGCACCCGGTGATTTATAAGTGGTTGGGGGTCACCACAACATGGGGAACTGTATTATGGGGTCACGGCATTAGAAAGGTTGAGAACCACTGATGTAGGGAAAGTATCAGAGAATTTTTGGATGAACATAATCACTTATTGAGGTCGTATACTAGCCACTTCCATTATTACAAGTATCACTTGGAAAGTTATTCAAATTATTATTCTATAAAACATTTTCTAATTAAAATCTAGAAAAAAAGCTTTAACCAAATTATCTTTCCCAATAAAAACAATGTTTTTAAATCACACTTTGTTGGCATGGAAATAACTGGGGCTGATATAAACTTTTTTTTTTTTTTTTTTGGAAATAACACTGATACATAGACATGCATAAGATTTATGGATCCATATGAATGTATATGGAATTGGAGTATATCATCACTACATTTAATTTTAAAAATGTAAAAATAAGGACAATTTATTCATATAGTGTAATTTGAATCAATAAATATTTTAGTGTGCTTAACATTTAAGCATACAAAAACCTGAAACAAATATTTAGAATCGGCTTTCGTAACCTAGTGCTCTGTATTACTACTAAGGAATTTTGAGGTGCTTCAACATATTTGTTGGGAGACACCAATACTGAAAATCAGTAATCAGGAAAAGGATATGGAACACTGCAAATACCACACAGCTTTGAACAGGGCTATTTTAATATATTCTGCCCTCTGCTTCCACAAGCAACTTGAACTGCATAATCTGGATATAACAGTAAGGTTCAAATATTGTCTCTGGTCATACATTTCCAGAATATATGATCGCTAAGTGATTCAATTATTAAGCGAGTTATCAAGTGACTGGACACCATTTTTACTGCAATTTTTAAGTAAATCACTGTGATTGTTAATCAAATCATGCAGTCATTAAGGGAATCCAGTTTCTCCCATTGACTTTGCTTATTGGAACCTGAGTGGAAAAGTCACAAATGCAGTCACGTGACTGCAGGATGCTGCAACTGTCATAAATGCCAGGTGCCCAAATTGTGATCACATCACTGCAGGGTGGTGCAACAGTCATAACTTGGAGGATGTGTCATAAGTCCCTTCTTTCAGCACCATTGTGATTCCAAACCATTGTTAAATGAATGATTGTAACTTGAGAATTTACCTGTATACGATTTACAAAAATCTGGGTCACTGCTAGATTACAGCATAGAGATACAAAAGTACAGAAACCACTCGCTTCTCGATGCCATCTAGTACTCATCCAGATACTTGCAGCTCAGTATTCATGGTTTCTTAGCTGCTACTACTAACAGAAACAATACTTCTAAATTCAGTATCATGTACAATGTTCACTAGAAATGTTGTCCATATGTATTAAAAATGTCCTTTTAAAAAAGCTACTTCTTAAATTTTTTGCCATCACTTTTTGCCAATATTTTAGTACAGTATTATCTTAATGTACACACTTCCCCCCAAAATCCAAACACCAAAATGAACACAAATGAATAATGAAAACAATAGAACGAAACTTTAAGCTAGGTGGATTTATTAATTAAAAGACTCTTCATGCCATCCATGGATCTTCTCTGCACTTCCCAAAGGAAGGTACATCTCATTTTGGGAAACATGTATTAAAACCATGTTTTGGGCCATATTTTTTGCCATTATATTCTATTTAATATATTCTTAAAACCGTCGAGGAGCTATTTTTTCTGTCTATCTATAAAATGAAAACTAATTTCATTTTCACTTCCTCTCTTTAAAAATAATTATACAAAAAAAAAGACAACCTGTTTAGTTCACCCTTGTTTTGTTCAAATGCTTCGGAGAAACTGTCTGCACAGTAAGAAACGTTACGACTACGATTCCCAGTATACTCAGAAAGCATGGCCCTTAAATAGATATTCTGGGAATTGTAGTTTCAGCTATTGGAACAAACATCGAGTTCAAGAAAACGATTATAAACCACCGGAACACACTTTCTCGATTTGGACGGCTTAAGAATCAGGCCACTCGGGAAGTGCGCAGTAGCCAATCAGATCGAAGAATTTCGGGACACCAAAAAAAAGCCGCAAGAACTTTTGCCTCAACCTATCGATTTTTACATCCGGGAGAGCCCCAGCCAATCAGAAAGACTCTGCCCATTTCCGCCAATTACAAATGAGATGTGCATTTGTTAACGAATTAAGGAACGGTAATTATATTCCTAGCCCTATCGGAACGAAGTCTGCTGCTGAGATAAATTAGAAGCTCCCGCCTCCCTTACTCAGTCAACTGTGAAGGGGGGAAGAGGAGGAGAAATAAAAAGGCAGGGTAACAGCTAACTGACAGTAACGCTGTCTACTCAAGGAAAGGACTTCCGCCACTATCAGTCCATGAATGTTTAAATAACGTGCCACTCAACCATCAGGCAAGGGATGGTTGCTATGGTCTGCCTAGGGACCGCCTCACCTGTTGCTAAGGGGCGTGGAAACGGATGTTGAGTTCGCCGGGGTCAGAGGCCGGCTGTGTTGATGTTGACACTAGGCCGGGCCCATAGATGGGCCATAGTAGACGCCGCTGTCAGGAGACCGCGAGGGGTCCGGAAGCTTTAGGTGCCAGCGGGAAAAGGCCCTTTCATCAGCGAAACTGGGTTGCTCGGGACGGCCGCTTCCCTCTCGGGCGCCTCCTGGGGGGATTGAATGCTTCGCTTCCTTCCGCCTCCCTGCTTTGCTGAGCGGAGTTGCCGTGGGACGGCCATACGTTGTGATTGAGCCTGTCATCCGGGCACTTTGCCTCCACCTTCCCTCTCCTTTCTGCCGTCCCTTTCCACTCCTCGCCCCCGACGTTGCCCTTGCTTCCCTCTGTCCCCCCCCTCCCCGAGCCCTCCTCATCCGGGTAACCTGCTCGTGGCTTAGCCCGTCTCATCCGGGCACCCGGCGGCGGTCGGCCCTCGGTGCGCGGCGGTCTTCGTCTGGCCGCCGCCACTGCCGGCTTGACACACGCGTCCTTCCGCGCGGCTCCTGCCCGGGGGTCTCGCCCCTCGGTGCTGCTGCTCCTCCTCCTTCTCCTCCCAGCCCCTTCCTGTCCCCTTCCCTCCCGTCCTCGCTTTGGCCATGACGATCCTGCCCAAGAAGAAGGCCTGCCCGGCTGCCGGAGACGGAGATAGGGACCAGCCCGGCTCGAGAGGGGGAGGCCCCGGCGGCCCAGGGGGCCCCGGCGGCGTAGGCGGCCCTGACTCCCGGGGCTGCTCCGGCGCCGATTCCCACCCGCGCGGCGTCGGCGTTGGGGGAGGCGTCGGACCCGGGGATCCGCATTCCGGGCGCGGCGGAGCCCGTCCCCGGGCTTCGCCTCCCCCGCCGCCGCCACGCTGGGGACTGCCCCCCGCCGGGTCCCCTCCGCCGCCTAATCCCGGAGTTGGAGCCGGGGGGGACGGGCCCGGCCTCGGCCTACTCGACCCCGGGGTGGCCGAATCGCGGGGCGGAGTAGGCGGCGGTTGCTGCTCCGGGCCCGGCCACAGCAAACGGCGACGGCAGGGGGGGCCTGGCGGCGGGCTAGGGCTCGGCGGGGCGGCGGGGCCTGGGGGAGGGGGAGGCAATAGTCCCGAGGAAGATGAGGTCGGCGCCGGCTACAACAGCGAAGATGAGTACGAGACGGCGGCAGCCCGCATCGAGAGCATGGACCCGGCCACCGTCGAGCAGGTACCCCTCTAGTTAAAGGAACCGAAAATCGAGAAGGGAGGCCTCTGGAGGGGCATGGAAGAACGGAGGGCATCGGACTCGAGTCCGCCACCTTTGGTGTGATAGCCAAAGGAGGGACTTGGCTCAACTCTGGACTATAAGACAATAATGGTTTACTCCCCCCCCCCCCGTGGTTAGAAATGGCCAGCCGAGGTGAGGATAAAAGCACACCGGCTGGGCTACCAAATTGCTGCCCCTGTGGAATTGCTGATGAGTTTACCCCGTAATGCACAACTTTCCTGACAATCCTACAACTGCCACTGAACGTGTATGAACTGGCTACTATGCCTCTTTTCTATTGGAAAAAAGTTCTGCCAGCTTTAATTTTTAGTTTGTTTGCCAGTGGCAATAAGGTGTGAAAATTCAGTGCGTTGGTAGTAGCATTGTGTCTGAAATAATTGCTTAAATTGTCAAGAGTGTATCATACAGAAATAGCCTTTCCATATCATGATGTAGGTATTTGCCATTTTTATTTAGGAAAGGAGTTGGTTCAAAATAGGATGGGGGGGGGGGCTATTGTAGTAAGGTGTTATTGTATGCAGTAATCCTAAAAGGAAGGGGAACAATAATTGAGGACATGGATATGAAAATGAACCTCGCTTAATCTGCTTAGCTAATAGTGACCATGACTTTGACAACCGTGGAATATGAAATTATATAATGTGAGGCAAAGGAGAATGGGGGGTACTGATGGATCCTTTGGGTTCAAACTTGTGAAGAAGAGGGGAGGCTGTCCACTGGAGTGCTATGTCCTGTTTGGGAATAAAAGGTAAACAGTCTCCATATGAGGAGAAAACTTTCTTCCACAGATTCCAGTTTATTTTTTTGATAGGGGAAATAATGATATTCTATCTCTTGTTCCTTTTTTGCCTGCCAAAACATTTTCCCCCAAAGCTTCATGAATAGAAGGTTTTGGTTGTCTCACTTTCCCCCCTGCCAAATTAGTTAAGCTATTTGATTGATGGTTAACTATTATTTTTACACATTTATGAAATCACAACTAGGGTATCACATCAATTGATTATACATGCTGAGGATAAAATAAATTGGGGCATGATTTTAACACTAGTGATGGGCAAAAAAGGAACAAGAGCTCCACTGTAATCAGAAAAAAGACACGTTTGTTTTATGTTTGTTTTAGGTTGAGAAAGTATCATAGCTGTAGAAATCAGTGAAAATAATGATATATTTTTTTCTGTAGTTTTGGAGGAGTTGCAATTATAGGTCCCCATGCTTGATTATTACTGATTCATCGGTGATTACAGTTTTGTATTTGGCAACTACCTAACAACGTGGGGGATACATGTACAAGAAAGAGTTTGCCTATTGTGAATTGGAGAGACTGAGTAAAAGTATGTTAGAAGAAAAACTAACTGTTGGGGTTACAGGTCCAACAAGCATGTTATTCAGAAGTTAGATTCCAGCATTTATATACCTGTACTGTATGTATGGCTATATAACATTGTTTGGGTTTCAGTTATGTCTAATTGTGAAACCCAAAACATTTGTTTTTAAATAAGCTGTCCTTCAGGGCTGGGTAATGTGAATTTTTTCAAGTAGAAATATTTAATTGAATTTAAAATGTAATGTATGGTTAGTAAGCTTTAAGCCCTTCCATTTTAAGAATAAACAGATGTCTTTTTGGTCCATTGATTGCCCCTATGGTCTTCTCAATACGGCTATTCCTAAGCATATGTCAGACTTCTCAGGTAAACCAGACAGGACACATGATCAGTTGAGCTAATTCTGCTTTATTGTAAGGTTATAGTAACAGAATCTTGCAAGTCTTAAAGTACAAATCTCCTGCTGTCTCCTTTACAGTCTGAGAAGAGGTTAGGGAGGGTTCTGAGCTTCTTTTTCTACCGTTATGCAGCTATGGGCTATGTCCTCTCTTATCTGACCATTTTCTAGGCAGCATCTCCCCACTCATCCCCCACTCAAGGTGTTTCTCACGTAGCACTTCAGCATGCTTAAGTTTTAACTTTCTTTACAATATACTGTCATTTCTTGACAGTAGGTCAGTGTGTTTTGCCACAGTACTAAAGAGTCTTTTTAGTACAGTTGCTATAAGCTAGATCTTATGGAACAAGTGGAAGAAGAGTTCTATTCTTCATGATTCAAATCCCTAGAGAACTAGAGAACTGTCAAAATTGTGAAATACAAGTCAGTTCTCTTCATCCCAGCATACCAGTGGAAGCTAATTTGGGTTAGGCACTACCAGAGTGACAAAATTCGTCATGTTTTTAGCGTAAAAAATTATACTTGCCTTTAAGTCTGCTGTAGGATCACTCCATATTGTACTGGATTATAGGCATTTTTTATCCTCCCATTTAGTAAAATTAAGCCATTTGAAGTTATTTCAGCTAAAGAGATAAGGGATGTTAATGTGGCAAAAAGGTAGCTGGAATATTCTATACTACCATCCTAGCCTTCTTTTAGATTTGATGTGAAATCTGGATGTCAAATGGTTGAAGCAGAACACTTGACTTCGAATTTAACTTAAGGTTCTGGCAGATGCACCAATTTAAATACATTGGAAAGACAAATTCCTTCTGCCATAGAAAAAAAAGGCAAAGCAGTTGTTTTAAACTATAGAACTGTGAATTTGAGTCCAGCATTTGAGGGAAAGTCTATTAAATGCAACAACAAAGCAAGTTGCTTTTGAAAATTGCCAAGCTTTGTGAACTGAAAAAGCCCATTAAATGTTTATATTGGTGTATCTAAAAGTTTGGGGCAAGTTAATTTGTCTATAATCACAAATTGTCAAATCAAAAAGCTCTTAGCTCATTTAAAAGGCTTCTGAATAGCAGTGCAATTCAATTAAGTTTTGGGACAGGTCAGCTCGATGCCCTGTTTGTAACTCTGTGGTTCTAATGTGCCAGATCCTAATTGGTGTACTATATTCTATTAAGATACACATGATTGGACTGTCAACAATAAGGAGAAGTAATACAGTCTGGGTTTGTGAGCAATGTGTTTTGGGGTTAGACCAGGCAGTTTGCCCTTTCTTCTAAAAAAGGGGAAAGGATATATTTTGGTAGAATTCATATTAGTCTATATCACTTGGAGTTTTCCATTGACTGGGTCTTCCTCTTTTGGAAAAAAAATGTTTGCGAGTATGAGATTGTTTCAGAGGCTTAGAAAGTTGTAACATCATACGTATTCCACTGAGGTGGAACATTAACATTTGGCAATTACATTATTTAATAAATAGACTCTGCAGTTTTGGGAAAAGAATTAAAACTCAGCAACTTTCTTCCATGTTGTAAGCCAGCTACAATGACTTGTGTTACCTTAATATTTTAACATAGGACCAGAAATTATGTTAATAAAACAACAGTTATTATGGAGCTCATTGAAGAAGACCTACATCAGTGATGGCGAACCTTTTAGAGACCGAGTGCCCAAAAGCTGCCTCGCCCCCGCTCTGCCCACCCGCCCTGCTCCACCCTCATCCCGCCCACCTTCAGGGCCATCCATAGCCCATCGCAGATCGCCCGGGCTTCTGCCCGCGCCCCTCAGCATCATCTGCTGCCCAGCTGACATGTGCTTGGCTGTGCTGCTCCGCGCGGGCCACATCCAGGGTGACTCTCCTCCAGGAGGGGCTGCTGGTGAGGACAGGGCTGTGATGGGAGGCAGGGTTGGGATGATGATGTGAGTGCCCACAGAGAGGGCTCCGAGTGCCGCCTCTGGCACTCGTGCCATAGGTTCGCCACCACTGACCTACATAATACAAGTTATTTCAGAGCATGCAGGGCAGCTCATCAGGCTAATAATCTATCTGAAATGTTCTAGGCATAGCAGGTAATTTTGGGAAAGATATAAAAAGAGTACATGTGCAGGTATGTTGAATATTCTTACTGAATGTTTTTGGGAGGTGGACATACTTTGAATCAGTGGTGGGATTCAGCCAGTTCGCACCACTTCAGCAGAACTGGTAGCTAATTTTTTGTTGCCCAGGCCCAGTATGGACTTCTGGAAGCGGCATCCCCACAGAGAACCGGTTATTCACATATTTGAATCCCACCACTGCTTTGAATGCTAGCGATGTGGAACTGTATTTTCACTGTCATTTTCAATCTATTCCTGTCAGAGTATTCTTAGGTGCTGAGCCTCAAGATACTTACTGAGGAGACAGCTATTTACTCTGAAGTGTCCTACTGTTATTGAATTCTTTTTCAAGATTATAGTAGATATGAGCCTTAATTGTATGTGCTGATCTCTGTATATCTGCTTACTTTGTTCCTCAGAAGTGAATTTGCAAATCTGAAGAGATGAATTTTTGCTTTAATTTTTCTACAGAAAGTATCTACTGTTGTGATTTCAAACCATCTACCTAAGCCGCCACGTTTGTTGGATTGTAACTCCCATCACTTTCACTCAATACCTTGGTCAAGGATTGTGTGAGTTATCTAAGAATACAGTTAGAGAGGCATGTATGGAGTAAAGTGAATGTAGTTTTGGCTTTTTGTTTGGTTTGGGCGGGGGTCTTGGAATCAGTATTGATTCTGGTGACTCCCTGGAAAGTCTCTGCAGTTTCCATGGCAAGATTTCAGAAGTGGTTTGCCATTGCCTCGTTCCTAGGGCTACGAGAGAGTCACAGGCCCAAAATCACCCAGCTGCTTTCGTGCCTATGGTAAGACTAGAACTAATGGTCTCCTGGTTTCTACCCTGATGCTTTAACCACTATACCAAAGTGGATCTAATTTTTGTTTAGGTCCACACTTCAAAATGTGCTACTAAGTAGCTCAGTGGGCTCCTTGACTAAATGAAGTTGGATTTCATATGTGCATGGTTCCCTATAAACAGTGCTTTTTTTCTTTTAAAAAAAAAAAGGTGCCGGAACTCACATAAGTCATACAACCCGCCTTGCCTACCCTACAAGGTTCCATCCAAAAAAGCTACCGGAACTCCATTCTGAGCGTTCTATGAGAAAAAAAGCCCTGCCTATAAGGATTGAG